TGGTTTTTAGTTTTTAGGGTTCTTAGGGTTTTTAGGGCTCTTAGGGTTTTAAAGGGTTTTAGTGTTTTATGGCTGAGAGCAAGGGGGTTTGGAATTTTTGGGGGCTTTTGTTTTGGGCAGGGGGGTTTAGGGTCGGGGGTTTTGGCGGCCTTAGGGGAGCTTGAGAGAGAATCCTTTGACCCAAAACCCTCAGTTTAGGGTTTAGGTCCTGGACTTTTTCTTCGCCATCCACACTCACCCAAGTGGTCCTTTCTGAAACCCTAAACCCTAAACCCTAAACCCTAAACCCTAAACCCTAAACCCTAAACCCTAAACCCTAAACCCTAAACCCTAAACCCTTTTGTTTTTGTGTTTTCTGGATTTGGACAAGCTCCCCAGATGGGTGGTGTGCAGGTCTCTCGGCGTCTGATGTCTTAGCTGCCCGAGCCCTCAACCTTCCCAAGCGTGAAAACCCTGGGTTTGGAGTACCATACTGTAACAGTTTTGTTGTTTTCGACCTCTTTGTTCCTTAAAGGAACCATTATGAAACAAAAGCTTGTACTTTTTTCTCACTGGTTACTTCAAAGTCCAGAAACAGGTTTGAGGCACGCCGTGCCTTTTGCGTTTGAGCTCAGTCCCGAAGTGTTGTGAGCCAGTACAGAGGCCACGGCGCTCTTCCTCAGCCCCTCGCCAGCTCATGGGGTTTCAGGGGTTTTCAGTAGGGATTTCGTTTTTGGGCTGTCGGGTTGGGGCTTCTTCCAATTTTCTAGAGGTTTTGGCTTTAACCGTCAATAGTGCTGAACTACTTTCTTGTCCTCGGAACGCGCTTCACGATTCCTTTAGGCCCGCAGAGTTCTCAAGGACCATGCGCTTCGCATTGGATGACAGGGCTTTCGCGTTGGCTTTTGAATGGGTTTAGGGTTTGATGGGGCCTCTTTGAAGGGGCTTTCTGAACCCGCAATCCTTGACCCTACACCCTGAACCCCAAGCCCTGAAGGCTCTAGGCGGTTCCGGCTGCAGACCCGGATACTGAGATTTCAGGGCTTTAGGGTGTAGGGTTGTTAACCTTTGTCTTCAGGCGCGTCTTAGAGGCTCATGGGACTTTGTATATAAGTAGGTTTGTAAGTAAGGTCACAGCTACATTGAAGTGGTTCTCCTAACTGCAACTGAACCAATTTACTTAGTTCCCTGAGTCTTTAAGTATGCTTACTTGTCCCAGCCTTTCAACAGCACGCGGGCATTGCGTGAACAAACGCCCTGAACCGTACAGTTTGTTGAAACTGCTTGAAAGTACCTCTATAGCCCTAAACCCCAAAACCCCAAACCCCAAACCCCAAACCCCAAACCCCAAACCCTAAACCCTAAACCCTAAACCCTAAACCCTAAACCCTAAACCCTCCCGCAGTACCTTTAGAGCGCCCTGGCACCCAGGCGGCTGCCCGCCACTGGCCGCTGACAACGACGAGCTTTGCGGCGCTCTGGAGCCCGGGGCCTGGAGGGTTGAGGGTTTAGGGTTTAGGGGTTTAGGGTTTCGGGTTAGGGTTTAGGGTTTAGGGGTTTAGGGTTTAGGGTTCAGGGGGTAAGGGTATAGAGTTTAAGCACAAGAGGTTTATCAAGGGTTTGTAAGGGTTTCACTCGCGCCTACATTATTTTACTGGCGCGTGAATACAACTAATATAACTACGAAGTGAATACAGTGAATGCATTAGCGAAGCGAACGAATGTAATGCATGAACGTATGAACGCAGTGAACTAGCCCGTGTAAACCAATCTCATAAAGACAACTTACGACATCTCCCTCCATTACCAGGATTCTTTGTTACCTTTAGGATTCTCTCCACACACTACGTTCATAATTTCGCTTATTTTCGCGCGGCTCTTTCGTTTCTAGGGCTATGGAAAGTTGTAAGTTTGTCTTTAAACAGGGTTTTGGGGTTCTGTATGCTTTTCAAAAAAAGGGTTTGCAGCTTGTTTTTTCAAGGGGTGTTGAGGGTTTGAGGGTGGACGTTCTCTACCTTATGTTCCCTTGTGGTCATCGACCATAGCATAGGGAAACCCTAAACCCTAAACCCTCAACCCTCAACCCTCAACCCTCAACCCTCAACCCTCAACCCTCAACCCTCAACCCTCAACCCTCAACCCTAAACCCTAAACCCTAAACATCCCTAAACCCTAAGCCCATCTTAGCTTTCTTTGCGCAGCTGACTGGAGGCCCCAGCTGGTGTCCATGGAGTTGCAGAAGCAGTGGCAGCCCTCGGAGGACGAATGAAGGGTTTGGAGGGTTTGGAGGGTTTGGAGGGTTTGGAGGGTTTAGGGTTTAGGGTTTAGGGTTTGGAGGGCTTGGGTTTTTTCGGCTTAAGGCTGTAGGGCGTCCACTTGGGATGTTCCCCCTTATACTAGCAGTCCTTAAGAGGGATTAGAAGGAGGAGTACTATCATCCCTACTTAAGGGCTGATAATCCACGGGGAACATCCCAAGTTTCCACTTTCAGCATCTGTGTTGAGGGTGAGGAGTTCTCATAAGAGTCCCAAGGCGCCAGGCCTTCAACCCCTAGGCTGAGAATCCGAGGCCTTGTGCGGCGGACCCGAAGCTCGGGGCTTCGGGTTTTCGGGGTTTGGGTTCGGATGTTCCCACTTCTACTCACAGTCCTTAATAGCCATAATAAGTAGAATCACTCGGAAGGACTGTTCGTCTTAGGGGAACATCCCAAGGTTAGGGCATCTACCCCTCACACCCACTCCGGAGAAGATGGCGCTCCGCATTGACCTTGAGGACCTATACTAGGCAGTGCTTAAAGCCCGCTTAAGATAGGGGTCGGAATAGTTACGAATAGTATTCCCTTAGGGTCCCTCCCTAAACCCTAAACCCCATTCTGATCTTTAAGGCCCCTAATGAATACTACAATCCACAGGAACCTCCACCAAGGCTCCTCACCCCCCAAGCCCGAAACTCTGCAAGAGCCTTTTGTAGTGGCAGTTTTGGGTTCGTGCCTCAACCTGTGCCGTCCTGGTCAGGAAAGTCCTAAATGCAAAGCCCTGGAACTAAACTGCCCACGCCCAGACTACATCCTCAACGCAAAGGCCCCAGCTCCTGAACCCTCAACCCCGAAAGCCCGAACTCGCCACCCTCAACCCTAAACCCTAACCCTAAACCCTCCCTAACCCCTAAACCCTAAACCCTAAACCCTAAACCCTTAACCCTAAACCCTAAACCCTAAACCCCAAACCCTAAACCCTAAACCCTAAACCCTAAACCCTAAACCCTAAACCCCAAACCCTAAACCCCAAACCCTAAACCCTAAACCCTAAACCCAAAATGCCAGACATCCGTGCAGGCATGCAACATCCTGCTGGCCCGCTTGGATCAGCCGGGGGCCAGGAAGCTCCTTTCCCGTGGTCTCCAGCTACCAAGAGTAGTGGGTTTAGGGTTTAGGGTTTAGGGTTTAGGGTTTAGGGTTTAGGGTTTAGGGTTGAGTGTTTAGGGTTTCGGGTTTAGGGTGGTTATATAGTAATTGAGACAGTGCCCTCATTCTAGCAGCATGACAGGGTTTAACCATAGCAAATTTTTCTCGCCCCCTGTACTAAGTTGCCACAATCGGCTCACATAGCAAGCAGTGCCTTATCAGGGCATTTATCATTTTGAAACTTCTGGGGATGCTTCTTGGATGGGAAGGTTTAGGATTTGGGGTTTTTTAGGGGGAGTCTTGAAGGGGGACTTGAATGGGAACCCCAAAATAGGGAACCCCAAGAATATAGTAGGAAAAGAATGGGAATGTCCCTTCCAGGGTCCTTATATTCCTTCTATACTCCTGCTGCCTTCTTGGGGTTCCCCGTTGTAACATGGTTCCCATTCGGATCCTTGCGAACAGTGAGGTTGGTGGTCCAGGAAGGGGAGTACTGCTGTATCCATACCCCCTTTAGGAATTGTTTCGTATCTCTACTTACATAAAAACCCCAAGTGAGCACCTAACAGCATTCTTGTTGTTAAGGTTCTGTGGGAGAGTCTTGGTCCTGGTAGGTATATTCCTACTACATGCTTACTGTATTCTTGGGGTTCCCTGTACCCTAAACCCTAAACCCTAAACCCTAAACCCTAAACCCTAAACCCTAAAACCCTAAAACCCTAAAACCCTAAAACTTGGGATTCCCATGAAAGGTCCCTTTAAAACGTACGTTTGCGCGATGCCCTCCATGCCGTGGTTCACTAGGAAGGTTGCGTTGCAACAGGGCCTCCCTTCTGGGGCTCTATGAATTGTACCGCAATTGTGCCAAAATTGTGCCAAGATTGTACCAAGATTGTACCAAGATTGTACCAAAATTGTACCAAAGTGGCACCAACAGTGTCCCACCCACCACTTTGTCAAGGAGCGGTAGCCCACTGCGGTGACAGAGCTCTGGGCAGATAGCACCGTTAGCGGGGGAGAACTACTGAGGGGGGCGGTTCTCTCCCCTCCCAGAGTATGGATTGTGGGAGGGGTGACTTTGCTCGTCCCTGCTATGATCGTGGGAAGGCATGCATGAAGCAGCGGCGCAGTTAAATGTGACGCACCTGTCCGAGTGGAAACCTCCTTCCCATCCACGCTGCTTGAACTAGGGCCGTAACTAGGGGTTTAGGGTTTAGGGTTTAGGGTTTAAGGTGTTTCAAGAAGAGGCTGCAAGTCTACAGAACCTCAATGCACGAAAGATCGCTTGTCGCCCCCCCCAGTCTGTGCCGTTACGCAGCTTGGAGCTTTGAAGCCCTAAACCCCAATCCTAAACCCAACCCAAGAACACACTTCGCACGAATTTCATCCTGCCTCGAACTCCACAACTGCATCGACCCTGCCGAACCCTAAACCTGGAAACCTCAACCGTCAACCCTCAACCTCTTAATCCTCAACCCTCAACCCTCAACCCTCAACCCTAAACCCAAAACCCGAAACCAAAAACCCTAAACCCTAAACTCTAAACCCGAAACCCTAAACCCAAAACCCCAAACCCTAAACCCTAAACCCTAAACCCCAGCCGACTTTGCGCGAAGCCATGCTGCTTCAACCCTGGGCCCCCTGGAGCCCCCTGAGCCCTTCGCTGCCTGCCAGACGTCGGGAGGCCGTGCGTCTTTAACGGGTTTGAAGGTTTCGGGTTTAGGGTTTAGGGTTTAGGGCTAGGGTTTCGGGTTTAGGGCTTGAAGGGTTAGGGCTTGAAGGGTTCAGGGCTTGAAGGGTTTAGGGCTCGAAGGGTTTGGGGCTCGAAGGGTTTAGGGCTTGACGGGTTTGGGGGCTTGAGGGGTTTAGGGCTTGAAGGGTTTAGGCTTTAGGCCTTGAAGGGTTTTCGGCTTGAAGGCTGTTAAGAGCGTTTAAGGGCTTCAAGAGCTTTAAGGGCTTCAACGGCTTGTGGGGCTTTAAAGGCTTTGAGGGTTTTTAGGGCTTTTAGGGCTTGAAGGACAGGCTCTGAGGGGTCCAAGGGCTCTAAGGGCTTTGACGAACTTCTAAGGTTCAAAGGGTCTCTAGCTCGAGTTACAAGTCCTCCCGCACATCGCACCCTGAACCCTAAACCCGAAACCCACCCCACCCAACACAGGGTGGGGTTTAGGGTTTAGGGTTTAGGGTTTATGGCTTGGGGATTCCTGAACACCCCAAAGTTATGGGCACCGCGCCAAAGGGCGCCCCCAAATCCTAAATCTCTACGTCCCATGCCACTGGAGCAACGCTCAGCAGGGTTTAGGGTTCGGTGAATACCGGGGTCGGAGTAATTACGAGTTGTATTCCCTTGTGGTCCCCTTGTAGTCATACTATAATCGCCCCCCGAAACCGTATCTTAGTTATTCAGGCCCCTATATAAGGGTTCATGGTTGAGGGTTCGGAGGTGTTCTTGGGCTTCTTGGCTTTCGTCCTACTGGCAAATGTAAATCCGCGTGTCGCACCCAGAACAAGAAGGCCCTTCTGGGTGCTCCCTAGAGGCCCCCTACATGATCAGCGGGTCACACCCGAAGGACAGCTGAAAGCCCTGAACCCCAAACCCGAAATCCTCAAAGACTAGATCCTGACCCTAGACTGACTCCGCCCCCACCTGCAACCCTGACCAAGTTCGAACCCTACGATCTTGAGAGCGCGACCACCCAAGAGCACGGCTGAAGACTTCCTGGTGTGAGTAGCATCCTGATCTCCCTAAACCCTAAACCCTAAACCCTAAACCCTAAAACCTAAACCCTAAACCCTAAACCCTAAACCCTAAACCCTAGACCCTAAACCCTAAACCCTAAACCCTAAGCCCTAAACCCTAAACCCTAAACCCTAAACCCTAGACCCTAACCCCTAAACCCTAAACCCTAAACCCTCAACCCAAACGGTCATATGGCTCCGCGGGATCCGGAGCCTCAAACTTGGCAATGACATTACTATTATTCCCAAACTCTGGCGTTGCTTGCGATTCAGCAACCTGATACCTGGTGCATGCATTTAAGAATAGGAATAATAATAAGAGTAGTAATAAGAAGAGTAATAATAATAAGAGTAATAATATTTAATAATAATAGTAATAATAATAAGAGTAGTAAGAATAAGAGTAATAATAATAAGAGTACTAATAATAAGAGTAGTAAGAATAAGAGTAGCAGTAATAAGAGTAATAAGAATAGTAATAATGGTAATAATCGTCATACAGTAGTAGTACTAGTGGGCATTGTGGCTGATCAGCCGGTGAGAGCGTGGTAGGGCCAAGCCTGCGCGCACTTGCGCCTTTTGGGTCTGAGCCGTGTCAGTGTCCTTAGACCACAGGCAGTCAATGGCAGCGACGTTTCTTGCCCATCGCGGAGTGCATCGCCTTGTCGTGGCTAAACTGGTCATGCCAACTGCGTGCATATATCCGAAGTTTTTGCGGAAGCCTCCTGCCTCGTGCTGGCAGCATGCGTGATTTGTGGCGAGTTGCCATGCTCTTTGACTTGTTGTCATGCACGCTTCGCTGGCCAGAGGGTCCACTTGTAGCACCAGTATGGAATTAGGTACCGAGAAACAATACTTAATAGGGTTTCGGGTACCTAGTTCCATAGTGGTACTACAAAATGGACCCTCTGGGATGTCGGGCTGTCCCATGATGGCCTGCAGCCCCTAAGACCTCAGAAAGCTCCCGCTGCAGCCTCTTGAAGTGATCGTGGAGGACCGAAGCCTGATGTTCAAGCGAGGAAATGTCATGCAGCCATCATCAATGCCCACATCGCCTTGATGAAAACTGCTTCTTGCTGTCATGAGTGGTATCCAGGTGGCTTCCCAGTCCGCGTGGCAGCAGGTCCCCCGCGGCGCGGGAGCCGTGTTGGTTGGAGGCCCGATGTTCCTTGGAGGTCAAAAACCTCAACCTAGGTTAACGTTTCGACGGTCCACATCTTGCAATGTTTTGGCAAACATGTAAGGTGTTTCGCTTACTTGAAGGTTTCGTCGGGGTTAGGGTTGGGGATTGGGTCGTCGGGTCGTAGCCTTAATTAAGCCAAAACATTGTGAGCAGACATATCGAAACCCAGCCTCGCCCACCAGCCGCGCTTGGGCGGTTCCAGAGCGTCTTGACCTCGGTGACCCCTGAAAATTACGCGTTGTTTGTTTTCGTGGTTCTGGCTTGAACAACCACATGAAACCACTAAAGCATCTCGTCCACTTCACGGCCGGTAAACCAGAGCTTGAACCTGCTGCCAGCCGCTGCTGCCATCCGCCCACGGCGGAGCAACACACAGCGCCAAGCCCGCAGGCCTTCGGGCCCTGCGGGGCTTTGGGGGGTTGGGGGTGACTAGAAGTGTTTACGATCCTGGAGCTTTCGACCATGCATGTCGGCGTGTTTTGCGACTCGCATATCCCTCAGGCAGCTTCCAAAAAGCCAAGGTTTTTTTTCATACTCCCCACAAAGGGTAGACATTACTTGAAACGACGCCCGAAAAGCGACTCTTTCTTGTTGGAAGCCTGTAGTCTCTTGTGATTCAGTTCAATGACCAAGGCCTGCTGTGTCAGAACCTTTAATCGAAAATAGGCATGTTCCCGCCATTGAAACAAACTATGGGTATGGTATGTGTAACCCTACATGAGGCACACATTATGAGGCTACTTGAACCTACAGCCCTAAAACTTAACCTGAAGAATGCCGGCCCCTTTCCAAGAATGGGTGCCGGTCGTTAGCAGGCTATTGGAATTCGCTTGCGCCCCCCAATGCAGACGTGCTCCTGAGCGTTGCGTGCGAGCTTTTTTTGCTCCCGGGAGGTTTGACTGGCTTTTCAGGGGCCTGTGCGGGCATTCCGGGCTTCCAACAAAAGACCTCCACAAAGGCTTTGAGGGATTAACAACTGAAACCATGTATTCCTGTTGTTTCAGCAAGGTTTCTAGGCCGAGTTTGCCGCTTGTGCGCCGAAGCCACTTGAGCCCTGCTGCTTTTCCGAATGGGGTTTAGGTTTTGGGTTTCCGGGGTTTAGGTTTAGGGTTTAGGGTATCCTCTTGCTACAGGGGTTGGAATTGGGATCGTCATTTCGCTGGCTGGGCTGGCGCAACGGCTAAGCAGGACCCTAGCCAAGTAATGTGGTGATGCGAGTGCGTTGCAACGGATCCCTAAACCCTGAACCCTAGGCCCTAAACCTTAAACCCTAAACCCTAAACCTTAAACTCTCAACCCTAACCCTAAACTCTAAACCCTAAACCCTAAATAACCCTAAACCCTGAACCCCATATCCCGAAGTGGCTCTCCCGCACGCTCTCACGCCTACCTTGCCCTGAGACATGGCGTGCGCCTGTCCAACATCAAGCCGGAAATCCGAGGACTGGACTGCTGGGTGCATAGGTTTGGGGTTTAGGGTTTTTGGGTTTGGGGTTTAGGGTGTAGGATTTAGGGTTTAGAATCGTAAGGGTGCCCCCTATGAAACACCAACGTAAGGGTTCAGGGCTCAGGGCTCAGGGTTCAGGGTTTACCTTCCAAGACACGAGTGAAGGACAGTGAAGGGATCAGGGTCCTCTTTGGGACCCCTATGAACGCGATATTCGGGGCACCGCAGTGCCTGGCTGCCGCCTGCTTTTCTTCGGGGCTTCCGTGGCGCTTTGGGGTTTAGGTGCCATGTACAGTCCCTTACAAGGTTGTATAGGGGCAGCCCATATCCCGCAATTCTTACACCCAACTAAACCCACGCAAGCCTAAACCCCAAGAAGTGCCCTCCCAGGCCCTCACATGAAGTGCAGATAGAGCCTAAACCGCCTCAGACATCGGCGACCCCGTTCGCGCCTTCTACTACTCCCAGTGCCCGCCGGAAGACTACCAGAAGCCGGAGCGCTGGGGCTTTAGAATACCAATGTGTATAGGGATTTCGGTTTCGAAAACCAAAACCCTAAATCCTAAACCCTAAGCCCCAAACCCTAAATCCAATCCTGAGCCCTGCAGCATGCGCAGCAACGAAATAGCATCCTCCTCTCGGAAGCTCAGTGTATAGGGCTCCAGAGTTCTGTCAGCGTTTCGAGTCCAGGGTTAGGGTTGAGGGATTATGGAAGACAATGCAGGAGCGCAATTAATTGCCAGCCCTTGCCGGCATGAATGCCTCAAGACACCCACTCATTGCCTCGATAAGAGGCTCCCCAGAGTTTAGGGATTAACGCTGCAGGGTCAAGCCCAAAACCCAAAGCCCTAAACCCTGGACCTCTCTTCCTCTCTCTCTCTCTCTCTCTACAAATATATAAACCCTACTGGGTTCGTGGGTAAGGCACAAACCTTCGTGTGCAAGGCACAAACCTGGCGCGGGCAGGGACCACCATGGCTTCCCCACGAAGGTTTGTGGCTTGCCCACGAAGGTTTGTGCCTTGCGAAGGTTTGTGCCTTGCCCACGAAAGCTGGCCCCGTTTAAAGCACAAACTTTGGTGGGCAAGGCACAAACCTTCGTGGGCAAGGCACGGGCAAGGCACGGGCAAGGCACAAAAATTGGTTGGCAGGGCGAAAACTTTGGTGGGCAAGGCACAAACTTTGGTGGGCAAAGGCTATTGGGCCTTGGGCTTTAGGGTTTAGGGCGCCTTGGGCCTACTACCTATGAGAGTTTAGGGCCTTTTGGGCCTTGGGCTTTAGGGTTTAGGCAGGGCCTATGGAGCCTTGGGCTTTAGGGCTTAGGGCCTACTAGGGTTTAGGGCAATGATGGGCTTTAGGGTTTCGGGCTTATTGGCCTTGAGCTTTAGGGTTTAGGGCCTGTTGCACGTTGGGCGGGTTTAGGGGGTACTGGCCTTGGGCTTTAGGAACTTGGCCTTTGGCTTTAGGGTTGAAGGGCTACTGGGGCTACCGGGCCGGGCTTTGGGGTTTAGGGCTGATTGAGCTTTGGGCTTTGTGCTTTGAAAGGAAGCCTGGTTTGAGATGTAAAGTTAGATGTTTCCTACTCTTGTGGGACCGAATGGGCGGGTGGGTCTTTCTCCGTCACTTGACAAGCTGCTTGACTGGTGAATGCTTGAACTTGAGATGCTGAAAACTAAGCCCTAAACCCAAAGCCCTAAGCCCTCAACCCTAGAAGGAGATAGCCTTCTTCGGTCAGAGCAACGTCGGCAAGTCTTCTTTGCTCAACTTCCTGCAGCCTGGGCTTGCAACGAGGATAAACCCGAAACCCCAAGCCCTAGTCCGTAAACCCTGAACTTCAGGGTTTAGAGTTTAGGGTTTAGGGTTTAGGGTTTAGGGTTTAGGGTTTAGGGTTTAGGGTTTAGCGCTTGAGGGCAGACTTGCCGTCTTGAGTTTTAAAATGCCGGAGGATGGAGAGAGGGTTCCTGTTTTGGAAAGCCCGTGCAGCCTTAGGATTGAGGGTTTGGGACCTTGTGGGGGCTCTTGAAACCCGACCTATACCTTCGGTGCGTTTAGGGTTGAGGGTTTAGGGTTTAGGGTTTAGGATTTAGGGTTTAGGGTTTAAGGTTTGGGTTTAGGGGGGCAAGCCGACCTTGCCTTCGAGGTGCAACCGGAAGAAGCTGTCCACAATCTCGAAGAAGCCCGGGCATACCAAGCTCATCCACCACTTCCTCTGCCCCTGAGCTTAAGTGGGTTTAGGGTTTTAGGGTTTGGGGTTTAGGGTCTCTCGGCCCTGTGACAAAACTTCAGCCCCAAAAGCCTGAAGCCCTATCTGGGTAATCCGAGGCTCCCCCGTGAGGGGTTGATGTTGGAAGCATCGGATACAATTCCTGAGCCCCAAGCCCCAGACAGCCCCAACCCTACACCCTACACCCTACACCCTAAACCCTAAATCCCGAAGCCCCAAAGCCAGCAAGCTGCAGGGTTTAGGGTTTAGGATGATAAGCCCAGGTGAGCACTCCTTCTACCTGGTGGACATGCCGGGCATCGGCTTCGCAGAAGGCGCGGCGTGCAAGGGGCCGAGGGATCTCAGGGATTTTCAGGGGCTCGGAACCACCTAAAGTCGAAGCCCTAGCCCCCTAGGACCCAGAGTAGGCCCGTATCCTCCTTTTTTTAAGGGGCCAACAAGGGCACTCTTCTTATTCGTAGGTTAGTCTTGGGTCTAGCCCCTGATCCGCAAGCTCTACACCCCTGAGCCCGAAACAGGTCGGGGCAAGGAGCTGAAGCAGATGGACAAGATCGTCACGGCTTACGTGCGACACCGGCAGACGCACGCCTGGCATTCTTCCAACCGTTGTTGTTTTTTTGTTTTCCGGGTTGGGGGTTTCGAAGCGCCAGATCTACGACCGAGTCATTGTAGATGCCTAAAAGTTCGGTAATTTGAAAACCACAGGGGCTTCTATTCTCGCAGAGTTGTAAAATTCGAAAACCAAGGAAAACCAAAAAATCGGATTTGCGCGCTTGCGCCCCAAACCATTTCGTATGAACTTGAATTAGGTTCCTAGTGATTTGCAATGTTAATTGAATTCAGCGCGTGGTTCTGGCAATGGGTTCGGGCAGGGTGGATGCAGGTCCCTACCTACAACCTTATCGTGCTTGCAAGTACCTATGAACCTTCAAGCAGTCAAGTGTGCTTCGGCCCAGGATGAGATGTTTTTGGGTATTGTATTGGAGACCCATTGCTTGAAGGTTCATGGGTAGATAAAAGTAGGGGTTGTAAGTAAGGTGACCTATATTACAACCTCAATTCAGGCACTCACCATGAACCTTCATGTAGAAGCCCTAAACCCTGAACCTGAGCCCCAAAGCCTAAACCCTAAGCCCTACTTAGAATTACCCCTGAACCTTCCAGTAGTAGCCCTAAACCCTGAACCCTAAACCCCGAACCCAAACCCCAAATCCTAGACCCTACTTATAACTACCCATCAACCTTCAAGTAGTAGCCCTAAACCCTAGACCCACCTTATAAGTATCCATGAACCTTCAAGTAGGAACCTTCAAGTAGGAGCGAAACCGCTCTAGGGCTCCAAGACCCCCAAACCCTAAGCCCTAAACCCTAGGCCTTAAGCCCTACACCCCAAACCCTAAACCCTAAACCCGAAACCCCAAACCCTAAATGCTAAACCGTAAGCCCCAAACCCTGAACCCTATGCCCTTATGCCCGAACCCGAATGTAGAAGATCGACGGGTCGCTCGAGTGAGTCGCTCCGGCGTGACACGCAAAGGAAGCGAACAACAAAGTAGCAAACCAACAAAGAGACAAGCTAACAAACTAACACCACCACCACAACCACGCCCCACCGCAACCATAAACCACAGCCACAACCAGCGGAACCACAACAAGGCACCACAACCACAGCATATGTTTTACGCAAAGAGCATTTGGGGAAGAGAAGCTCCAAAGGCTTAGATCAAGCAGCAGGCCTTAGGACCCTAAACACCAGGAAGCCCTGATGCCGCCAGCCTAAAGCGTCTAAGAAAGTAGGAAGCTGCAAAGCTCCGCTAGACTTACATGGCTTCAATCACAGGCTTATGCCCAGTTATAACGACCCATGAACCTCCAAGTGCCTGAAGGATCATGGCTAGCAATAGGAAGAGGGGTTACAAGACTAAAGCCGCTGTAGGACTCTGGTGGAGCTGTTTTACCTTGTGGACGGCTCGCACCACCTCCAGCTATTTGACTTGCAAGGCTCGGAGTTGTGTCGTGCTCAGACCCTAAGGACCCCAAACCCCTCCCTATACCCTGAACAGCCTAAAAGCGCCAACAACCCTAAACACCCCCAAAACCCCCAAAAAACCCAAAACCCTAAACACCCCTTAAGACCCAACAACCCTAAACACCCCAAAAACCCCAAAAACCCTAAACACCCCTTAAAACCCCAAACGCCCTTAAAGCTCTAATCGCCTGGCCTGAGAGGGCATCTCGCGGCCTGTGCCGGGTCTCTTGCAGTTTTCCAGCCTCCCACGACGCCTAAGCCCCAAACCCTGATCCCCTAAACCCTATAAACCCTATAAACCTTAAACCCTTTAAACCCTAAACCCTATAAACCCTATAAACCCTAAACCCTAAACCCCAAACCCTAAACCCTAAACCCTAAACCCTAAACCCTAAACCCTAAACCCTAAACCCTAACCCCAACTACTAACGCGCCAGTCTGCCGTCGCCAGAATCGCGCTTTAGCTCATCCCGATGGAGTGGTTCAAGGTGTAGGGTTTAGAGTTTCGGGTGTGGGTTGAGGGTTTAGGGTTTAGGGTTTAGGGTGTAGGGGTTAGGGTGTGGGGTTGTGGGGTGTACGGTTCAGGGTTTCAGCCAAAACAAGAAAGCCAAGTCGTCTCAAAACAGCCACGCGCCTGACTTGGCTTTCAAGGTAGCCGCAACAGCCAAGCAGCTACCCGCGCAGGCATCAAGTGGCTGGCGGATGCTGGGGTGTCGCTGTCCGTGACCCCTGGGCTGGTCTTCAAACCCCCCCCTAAACCCTAAACCCTAAACCCTTGAACCCTTAAACCCTAAACCCTAAACCCTTGAACCCCTAAACCCAAAACCCTAAACCCTAAACCTTTGAACCCCTAAACCCTAAACCCTAAACCCTGAACCCCGAAACCCCTAGACCCTAAACCCAGTGAGTTTAGTGTTTAGGGTTTCGGCGCCCCGGCCTTTGAACATGAAATGCTCCGTTATTGTAAGCAGGAAGAATATTGTTAGAGAATGTCCTTGATCTCGTGGGGTTGGCGGTTTTCTTTCTAATTAGGGCGAGGAGAGTGCTTTCTCCCTGCCAACACGATCCCCAAACCCCATACCCTCACCCTTAATACCGAAACTCGAAACCCTAAACCCTAAACCCTAAACCCAAGACCCACGCACCCTTTGTGAATGAAGGAAGCCCGGAAACCCCCACCCTAAACCCTAAGCCCTAAACCCTAAACCCTAAACCCTGAACCCTAAACCCTAAACCCTAAACCTTAAACCCTAAAACCCTAAACCCTAAACCCTAAACCCCAAACCCTAAACCCTAAACCCTAAACCCTAAACCCTAAACCCTAAACCCTAAACCCTAAACCCTAAACCTAAATGCCAACCAGGATCCTTACGAAGATGGACACGCCAAGGCGGAGCCTTCCAGGTCGCGCGGCGGGCATTTCAGGGTTTAGAGGGTTTTGGGTTTAGGGTTTAGGGTTTATAGGGTTTAGGGTTTTGGGTTTTGGGTTTAGGGTTTAGGGTTTATAGGTTTTAGGGTTTAGGGTTTAGGGTTTAGGGTTTTGCGTTTAGGGTTTAGGGTTTAGGACTCAAAGGGAACTAAAGGTTTAGGACTTATGACCGGAACCAAGGGGATGTTAAGACAGTTTTGTTGTGCGAGCTTTGGCAGCGGGCTTTACGGAACGGGACGCGACGGGAGGGACAATGCGGGCCACGAAGCAGGGACAGGACGTGAGGCGGGACCGGAGAGACAATGCAACGGACGTGTGCGGGACTCACGGAGGCACGGGACGGGGGGGTGCGAGCTTTGACGGCGGGACCCACGCGACGGGGCGGGACGGGGACTCGGACGGGCGGGGGGGAGGGAGGGATACACAACGCATGGACCCACGGCACGGGCAGGAGGGACACATATGGGGGCTTTGGCGGCGGGATCTCACGGGAGAGCGGCGGGACTCCGCGGGACGGGCACGGACTGGAGGAACACGGGACGGGAGGCACACTGCCTGCGGGGTGCACACGAGATGGGCGTCCGGCCGACTCACGAAACGTCGTTCACGATTTGGAATGCGCTGGGCGAGAGTGACAGGGCCGTGCGGAAACAACGAGAGGGTCGTCGTTCGCGATTTAGACTGTGCACGAAGCCTAGGCGAGAGCGACACGGCCGTGCGCAAACAATGAGAGGGTCCTCGTTCGCGATTTAGAATGTGCACGAAGCCTAAGTGAAACGCAGAGAAACCGAAACCACGAGAATCCCAGGTTAAAGAAGAAAATCCTCAATTCATTCCGTATCCGTTCCTGTGGGTTGGCATTCTTTGGCTTCGGTCGGAGGTGCTGCCCTTTTGTTAGGCCAGGCGCGTGCCTGGGTCAATTCTCCACTCCACTCCACTCCCCTTTCCTCCACTCCACTCCACTCCATTTAGGGCTTAGGATGTTTAGGGATGTTTAGGGATGTTTAGGGTTTAGGGTTTGGGGGGATGGTTTAGGGTGTAGGGATGTTTAGGGTGAATTGCAGTCGACACCCACTCACGCACAAGATGAGCATAAGTCAAAGAACTGACGCTATCGCCTTGAATGAACCCTTTCATGCCTTTCAAGCCCCAAACCCCAAACCCTAAACGCCACACCCTATATTTTGGGATGTTCCCCCTTATACTGAGTAACAGTCCTGAATAGGGGTTTCTATAATCCCTATCAAGCACTGCGAGAAAAAGGTGGAACATCCCAAGCCACAACCCTAAACTTCTTGGTTTCTGCTGTGGATTTGGGTTTAGGGTTTAGGGTTTAGGGTTTAGGGTTTGGGGTTTGGGGTTTAGGGTTCAGTATTTAGGATTTCTCGGGCGATTTGAAGTGCCCAGGCCATCCGGATGATCTCGCCGAGGACGGGCTGCAGCTCTGGAGGGGTCGGAATGATTACTAGTAGTATGCCCTTGGGTTCATTATATGGGCACCTAGGGGCTATATTAAGGTATAAGGGTAACAGATAAAGAGGCCACCGGCCTCTGTCCTGAAAACCTGATACAGCCCATAAGTATCCTAAACCCTAAAGCCTGAACGGTAAACCCTCAACCTTAAACCCTATATGGGTGGCTGTCAAAATTGTGGTCCCTTTTTGGGGTACCCTAAATATTAGGTGCCGCATTCTGAAAGGGATCCAAAAAGGGACCATAACTTTGACAACCACCCATATAGTTGTACTAAAATCACCCCAAAACCCTATTCTAATTCTTCAGGCCCCTACAGTACGTCCTCACGACGGTTTTCAATCCATCCAGAGTAAGGGGGTAGGTGGATGTTGCCATGCCGCACGCGGCCAGGGACCCTGCGTTCTTCTCGAGGGTTGCTCGCATTTCGGATTTAAGCTGCACTCTCGCCTAGGCACGGGCGTGTTCGCGCTCGCCGTGGTGGAAGCTGTCGTCGCTTTGAACGTCTGGGTTGGCCAAATGCGAAGCTCTCGTCGCGTTGGAATCCCTTGAACCTTTCAACCCTAAGCTCCAGGCCCTACACCCTAAACCCTAAACCAAAAAACCTTAAACCCAAAACCCAAAACCCTAAACCCTAAACCCTAAACCCTAAACCCTTGCAAGGAGCTCCTCGATGGTCTATACAATATGACGGAGTCACCTTGGCAGCTTCGCTGCACCCCGGGCAGTTTGGGGCTCATGCGGGGTTGAGGCCTTCTCCCCCCTAAGACCCCAACCCCAAATCCTAAAACCCTAAACCCTAAACCCCAAGCCCTAAACCCCAAACCCCAAACCCTAAACCCTAAACCCTAAACCGTGAACCTTAATAAATATCAGCTGCCGCAAGTCTAGCAACCACCCCCCCCTTTAGAGAATGCCTCTCCGGGGATTGTCGCGAGGCTTCGTTGGGGCCTAGGAATGAAGGGTGTTTAAAGTGTAGGGCTGGGGTTTAGGGTTTAGGGTTTAGGGTTTTGGGTTAGGGTTTAGGGTTTAGGGTTTAGGGCTTAGGGCTTAGGGCTTAGGGTTTAGGGTTGAGGGTTGAGGGTTGTAAGACAGGCCATAGAGGGCCCAGAAAGGGCCCTAGATCAGCCCCCCCCCCCCCCAATACAGGGACCTGAGGATTGTTCCTTGTCAAACCTTTGGGAAACTTCCTGAAAGCCTTTGCAGCTGCAACCCTCCGAGGACCTGAGCCCTAAACCCTAAACCCTAAACCCTAAACCCTAAACCCTAAACCCTAAACCCTAAACCCTAAACCCTAAACCCTAAACCCTAAACCCTAAACCCGTAACCACAAGCTGCAGGAAGCTGGGCCACCTCAAGGAGATGCCTTTGGTCTTCAAGCCTCTTGGATCCAAGAATGGAAGGGTTTAGGGTTTAGGGTTTAGGGTCTAGGGTCTAGGGTCTAGGGTTTAGGGTTTAGGGTTTAGGGTTTAGGGTTTAGGGTTTAGGGTTTAGGGTTTAGGGTTTGGGGTTTGGGGTTTAGGGTTTGGGGTTTGGGGTTTAGGGTTTAAGGTTTAGGGTTTAGGGTCGGACTTTGGGCTTGTGGTTGGAGTTTTGGGGGTTTAGGGTTTAGGGTTTAGAGGGTTTAGCCTTTAATTAGAGGGTTTAGGGTTCAGGGTTGAGGCCGATTTTTTTGCTGTGTTTGGGTTTTGGGGGGTCTGCGTTGTTGTGCCATGGGGTTGCTAATTTGGGGTCTTCGGGATTCAGGGACCTCGGCTTCCGGCTTCGGGCTCGTTCAAGGGCTCAAGGGGTGAAAGGGGTTTGGGAAGAAGATTGCCGGACGCCATGCGGGCAACCCTAAACCCTAAACCCTAAACCCTAAACCCTAAACCCTAAACCCTAAACCCTAAACCCTAAACCCTAAACCCTAAACCCTAAACCCTAACCCTAAACCCTAAACCCTAAACCCTAAACCCTAAAAACCTATAAACCCTAAACCCTAACCCTCCCCTAAACCCTAAACCCTAAACCCTAAACCCTAAACCCTAAACCCTAAACCCTAAACCCTAAACCCTAAACCCTAAACCCTAAACCCTAAACTAACCCTAAACCCTAAACCCTAAACCCTAAACCCTAAACCCTAAACCCTAAACCCTAAACCCTAAACCCTTAAACCCTAAACCCTAAACCCTAAACCTTAAACCGTAAACGTATAGGAAGCCCCAAATCCTCACCCACTTCTCACCTCTCTTCGCACCTCAGGGCGAGCGCGAAGGCCAGGACCGGACGCGAGGCGACTGAGAGGGTTTCTAGAATTTCTGGGGTTTAGGGTTTCGGATTTAGGGTTTAGGAATTTGGGGCTTAGGGTTTTAGGGGTTCATAAGAGGGGGTTAGGGTTTCTGGGATTTCTGGGTTTTGTAAAGGGGGGTTTAGTGTTTAGGGCTTGGGGTGTAGGGTTAGGGTTTGTAGGGTTTAGAGGGTTCAGAGGATTTATAGGGTTTGTAGGGTTTGGAGGGTTTAGAGGGTTTATAGGGGGTAGAGGTTTTAGGGCGCACTGCAGGAGACTGAATAATTTCCAATGTTTTCTACGTACAACCCACATACATATGAACTCTAAGCTACCCAAAATACCGATCCTATTTGAATAAGCCATGGCATGAAAGAGGTTGAAGGTTCGCGCAGTTAGCGAGTGTATGGCACAGGGTTGAACCCTAAACCCTAAAGGCTAGGAGGCTGGCAGTCGAAGTGGAGATTCGGTCTCTACACTAAAAAACGAATTAGGGTTTAGGGTTTAGGGTTTAGGGTTTAGGGTTCAGGATTTAGGGTTTCGGGTGGAGTGTTTAGGACTTAGGGTTTAGGGAAAGCCATGCTGCCTGAAGACTGGCCCTCTTGACTGGCCAGGTAGAGCTCACTGTTTGATGCTTGTTTGTTTTCTGTGTTTGCTTCCGGCGCTGTTTCTCTAAACCAAGCAGCCCTTGAATTCAACAAAGCCAACTCTAACCCCGAATGCGCCAGGGCCCTTGGCCCAACCCCAAACCCCAAACCCTAAACCCTGCACCCCAAGCCCCGACCCGTAAACCCTAAACCCTAAACCCTAAACCCTAAACCCTAAACCCTAAACCCTAAACCCTAAACCCTAAACCCTAAACCCTAAACCCTAAACCCTAAACCCTAAACCCTAAACCCTAAACCCTAAACCCTAAACCCTAAACCCTAAACCCCAACTACTTTTCTCCTCAGCAACCCCATCCGTGTCAGCTCGCGCCCTTCCAACGGTGAGGCCATCTTGGAACACATCGCTGATATTCGCAAGCGAGTCATCTTGGGCCGCGTTCTTAGGGTTTAGGGTTTAGGGTTTAGGGTTTAGGGTTTTTTTACGGCTGCCATGCGCATCCCAGACTCTTTCCGTGGCGCTTAAAAATATTTGGCTGGCGCGTAGGCGCAGCCGCCAGATGCAGGGCATACTTAATCGTTGGAGGCTACCAATGCTGATTCCTCTACTACTTCTAATCAGTATCTTTGGGGATGACCTCTCCTTATAATGCCTTTAGTGAACTTTACCCTATCCTTAATACCAGGGGAGAAAACCACGTGATGAATGGGATCTGTGGGCGGTGTAGTCAGTATTGTTGTAAGTTGCTGGAATTGTTGGGACAGGAGCTGCCGGGAGGGGACTACTGGTTTATGGGCTCTTTCCCAAACCGTTCGGTTGGTGATGTGTGCGTAATAGGAGGCCTTTTTCCCTATACATCTTCGTAAATGCTGGTGGTACCATGCGTCGATTGTTTTTAAATGTCGCACGTCTAGAGTTAGAGAGTCTAGGCCATATATCAAGGTAGACACCCCTTCTCGTTGGGTTTAGGGTTTAGGGTTTAGGGTTTCGGGGTAGCATTCAAGTTGGTTGAAATTTCCACCCTCAACCTCACGCCCAACAAAGCCCGAAAACCTCGGTTTGGGTGGGACGAGTATGTCTCCAGCCCTTAGCAGTTGCTGTTTCCTCATTCCAAGCTGGGTTGGCTCCGTGGTGTAAACATGCAGGGCCCTAAGCCCTAAGCCCTAAGCCCCAAGCCCCAAGCCCTAAGCCCTAAGCCCTAAGCCCTAAGCCCTAAGCCCTAAGCCCTAAGCCCTAAGCCCTAAGCCCTAAGCCCTAAGCCCTAAGCCCTAAGCCCTAAGCCCTACGCCCTAAGCCCTAAGCCCTAAGCCCTAAGCCCTAAGCCCTAAGCCCTAAGCCCTAAGCCCTAAGCCCTAAGCCCTAAGCCCTAAGCCCTAAGCCCTAAGCCCTAAGCCCTAAGCCCTAAGCCCTAGCCCTAAGCCCTAAGCCCTAAGCCCCAAGCCCTAAACCCTAAACCCTGAAGCAGATGCTACTTTCTAGGGCAGCTGGCGCGCGTTGAGGGTTCGTTGTGGATTTCTTACTGGACGTGGTGATGATGGAAGTGTGCAGACGTTTGAGGGTTTAGGTTTAGGGTTTAGGGTTTAGGGTTTAGGGTTTAGGGTTTAGGGTTTAGGGTTTGAGCCCAAGCCAAGGCGAACGGAACAAGAAGAAGGCCTCCGAGCAAGGGGCTATCGGCTATCAGACACTTCGGGTGACATGTTGCTGGCACCTTTGTTGAGATCTCAGGAATGAACGGATGGTGTCCCTCCTGGCATAGATCCGCATGGAGTAAGGTGAACTGGTAAGTCGGCTAGCTACGCAGAATGTGTTCTTCGGGTGTGTGTGTGTGTGGGATATGCACGTGCCAAGCCTACAGCATCTACAGCACCTGAACCCTGCCCTGAATCTGCAGCGTAAACCTTGCAGGCACTGACCTGCCGAGACCTTAGACCCTCAACTTCTGAAGTGGATCTCAGCGTCTGTATGGTGAATTTATTCGCAGCGGGCGATGTCTGACTCCCAACTCCCATCTCAAGAGCCACTTAGACTTACCATTGCCAGCCCTTGTAGCACATGCGAACCCGAAGCCTCAAGCTCTGCGATCCAACATTGTCAAGTTTCCGGCGTAGGTTTGGGGTTCGAGGGTCGCCCCACGGCATCATCCCCCGCAAGGCCCAGAAGGACTTGGAGAAGAGGCTTGTGCCGCCAGCTATCCGCTAGGACTCGCCCCGGTGCAGGGAACAACGAAAGAAAACGCGCGTAGGGCCTGGCAGGGTACAGGGAGGCACGCGGTTTCACAGTCTAAGGCGACAGGATGCTCCCTAAACCCAAAACCCAAAACCCAAAACCCAAAACCCAAAACCCTAAACCCTAAATCTTGGGAATCCCGAAGTGCCTGGGACCTACGGAGACGCCATTGCAGGAGAGGTGAGGAGGTCACAGGCCCGCGCGAAGATCCAGTAGGATCCAAACAGTAGGATCCCCTCAGAATAGGGCGAATAGGGACCCCAGTAAGGTACCCCTAATGTCGGAAACCCCCATAGGCGCACCAAGCTACCACACCAACCCAGGAGAGTTTGGCGGCTGTTGATCCCCGCAAATTCTACGATCTTTATTATAGGAACCCTCCGCAACATGTACCCCTAAACCCCAACCACTTAATAACCCTCTGATCAGACCGTTGCGTTGTGGTCGCACAACTCCTGCAAGCCGCCGTCTCAAAGAAACCCAGGCGACCCAGGAGCGTCCGCAGATGCGCTTTGTCTTGCTACTCCGAGACCACCTGCTGTGGGCCTTGCCCTGGGTGTGCGACTTCTTCGCGTGGGGGAGCGCTGAGAAGCCGGACTTGCGAGATGCCGTGTGCCGCGGCAATGCCAGCGAGGTGCGGGAGTTGTTGGATTCCGGCCTCGACGCAAGCCTTTCGAACGGCTACCCGTGGAGCTGCGACGACCTTCGGGAGCCCTACCACACCTCGGTGCATCACGCCGCCCAAGAGGGCTTGATCGACATCTTGCGGTTGTTGCTGGCCGCGTGGCCCGGGGGCGCCCAAGCCAGGGATGGTTGGGGGAACACCCCTGGGCACTACGCAGCTTCGGCCGGGCAGATGGAGGCCCTGGAACTCCTCCTAAGCTGGTGGCCCGAGGGGCTCCGCACCACCGACACAGCAGGCCTTACGCTTCTGCATTGGGCAGCCGCAGCTGGGCAGCTTCGAGTGCTCGAGATGTTGATGCAGCGGTGGCCGGAGGGCATTTACGTAATTGATAGCCTAGGGAGATCCCTGCTTCATTGGGCAGCCTCGAAAGAGCACCTGGATGTGCTCGACTTGGTCCTACCACGCTGGCCGGAGGGAGCCCGTGTGATTAGTAATGACGGCTGGACGCCTCTTCAGCAAGCTTCTTGCGCTGGCATTCTCCATCGTGGGTGCAACCTCACCAACTCTTTGCCATTGCTAAGGGATGCGGCCATCAATCTGGAATGTGGGACTTCGCACGAGCTTTCCAAGCTAGAGCTAAAGCTCTGGCTCAACTGTGGTGGCGACCCATGGTACGAAGGTGCTTCGGGCACACCCCTTTCTGAGAGACTTGACGCTCTGGATGCCAGAGAGTTCCTGCGTGCCAAGAAGGCCGAGGAGGGCTATTATTCCAGACTCCTGTCAGACTACCGTACTTACGTGGTCCCCACCGCCGCCATCGCAGTGGCCTGGGCAGCAGTCCTATTCGAAGAACACTTCGACAGAGTGTTCTTCCTCTGCAAGACTTATTCACTTCCCGCTCGAAGGACGGTGCAGATGGATGTTTCGGAGGTGGCAGAGGACCCGTTTCTTGAAGGAGCAAAGCTCTTGGTCGCTCAGGCATCCGCAAAGCGCCTGCCACTTCACCGGCTTTGGCGATGGCTGGAGAGCATGGTCGCCGTAATTTGGCTGGGGTTCCTGTTGGCTTACGCCCACTGGCCATGGTGGCTGCCCTTAGTAACTCTGGCCTATGCTCTGCCCGCAGTTGGCCTCCACAGGACGCGCAAAACTCTCCAGGCACCCGTGCTGGCACTCATGAGCCAAGGCTTCGCTGGCGAGCTGGCTGCTCTCCTTCGAAACATCTGTCTGAGCCTGGCCTTCGCAATCTGCATGTTGCTTCGGCTTGGCAGCAACCCGGCCTATCGTGAATGGCAGTCAACAAAGCTTCATAATGTGTGGGTCAAGTCGCACTTGAATGACCACTGGCTCTTCGTATGGGCACCTGAGATTTCGGCGCGTCAAATTTTTCTGGCAGCTGTCATTGCATGCAGCTGCATCATTGGACTCCACTGCGCCCTCTTGTGCCGCGCTGTGCTGTGCGCATGTTTCTGTGCAACCACAGCGGATGGCAACGAAACAGTAGAAAGGGCCCAGGAGAGGCACGCCAGAGAGCGGGACGAGGTTCTTGCTTTGCTGCAGGAGAGGCCCGACGTCGCACGCGTGAATCCTCGAATCATACCTGTGACAGCTTTTGCGCTTCCTTGGCGGGGCGGCGGCCTGTATCTTGCCGTGGGGTTAGTGCTGCTGGACGTGGGCCTGGACATCAATACCATCATCACCTTCCTTGGGGGAAAGAGCTTTCTTTTTGCTGCTTCGATGACGTTCATCGTGGCCCGAAGCTTTGTGAAGCAGGTGCAAGTCCTCCGGCCATGGCAGCTTTGGCAGGCCGGCCAGTTTGGTTTTGGGGAGTAGTTTGAGGCTTAAGTTTGGAGGTCAAGGTTTTGTGGGAGAGAGGCATGACCACAGCATTGATCGAGTTGTTGTCGGCGTCGGGTAGTGGTAGGCGCAGGAAAGCTGGTGACTCCTAAGTGACTATACTGCTACGCGAACGACTGGGGGTGGGCTCTACCGACATTTACTATGGGATTTGCGCTACACACCGTGGGCCCTCCGTTGCAGCTCCGTTACAAACTCCGTTGCACCTCTGTTACAGCTCCGCTCCTTTCCCATACAAATTCTGTTACATAAGCCCCGTTACCGGCAGGCAGCCGCGAGCATGTCTGTCATAGTAGAGGCCTGCCAATCATTGTAGAGCCCCGCCCCAAGCGAACGAGGTATTATCAACATGCGGAGGCTATCGCTGAAGCAAACATCTTGAGACTTTTCTAGACATTCCGTGCTGTAGCTGAATACTGGAACTAAGAGCAAGAGCATCGGAACGAACCAGCATGTGTCGTGCAAAGGTTATGGAAGCTCTGCGGACGCAGAAGCGAGTGTGTTCTTGTTTTACATTAGGAACCTGGCGACCTAGGGAACACCTAAGCCCCTAAGCTTGCGTCATAGCTGCCTAGGCCGTAAACATCCTAGACCCCGAGCCCTAAACCCTGAACCCTAAACCCTCAACCCTAACCCCAAAACCTGGGCCCGAAGGAGAGCTCCCAACATTTCTGTGTGCGCGAAGTGTGGGCGCTTCTCAGGTTAGTCCTAGTTTTGGGAATAATTCGGGTGTGGGTTTTGGGTTTAGGGTTTAGGGTTTAGGGTTCAGGTTTAGGGTTTAGGGTTTAGGGTTTAGGGTTTAGGGTTTAGGGTGTCCAATATAGATGCGCGTAAAGCTGACTCTGGAAGCACGTGGAGAAGCTTTGCGCGACGTGAATAAGATGCCACAACAATCCCCTCGCCCGAACATTCAACCCCCCTGCCCCCTTATGTGAAATATTCCCCATGCACTCTACATGTAACTCGAATGGCGTGTGTAGCATTAGGGGGTAGGGGGCTTCAATATGAGGGCAAAGGGATTACAACCCTGAACCCTGAACCCTAAACCCTACACCCTAAACCCTAAGCCCTAAACCCTAAGCCGCGGCAGGCAATGCGGGCCAGCTTAGATCGAGGCATCCTGCGGAAGGACTTACTGGACTTCCTTGAGGACACCCGGTTGGCTTCATCATTTCCCTCAGGGTTTAGGGTTTAGGGTTTAAGGTTTAGGGTTTAGGGTTTGAGGTTTAGGGTTTAGGGTTTAGGGTTTAAGGTTTTAGTTTAAGGTTTAGGGGTGAGGGTCTGGTCCCGGACACGGATGCGGCTGCTACTGAGGAGGAGAAGAGATCTGAGGCCCTTCTTTGCGCCTGCATCACCGCCTACTCTGCTGCTGGGCTCACCTCGACGGCTGTTTGTTTTTCAAAGTGAATCCAGAAACCCTCAACATCCTAGAAGGTGGAATCTAACTTGCTGAGTCCACCAGTCCTAGACCCTACCCAGGCCTTCTTCATGGTGCATTCTGCGGGTGAGCTCCTAGTACAGCTCTGCAGCTTGACACTGAGCACCGTCATGTTCTCCAGCTACGCCGTCGTCGCCTGCGACCTGGAGGACTTGCAGATGCGCGCAGTTCACTCCGAGCCACTGGAGGCCCTCTCAGGGTTTAGGTTTAGGGTTCAGGGTTTAGGGTTTAGGGTCCCAAACCCTAAACCCGCAAACCGCCTAAAGCCTCCAAACCGTAAGCTTTAGACCCCCTAAATCCGAAGCCCTCGAACCTCCAAGCCCATGGTACTTGCTGGCGGGAACAAGACCAGCTCTTTCAAGATTTGATGCTGCCGCAGTATTCCACCATACATGCCGGGCTATGCTACATTAGGCTGTACTATCGTACGATGCATGAACGTTTGAGCCGTGCAAAGGCAGAAGGGGCCGTGGGTGATGTGCAACCTTGGTAAAACCCTAAACCCTAAACCCTAAACCTTAAACCCTAATCCCTAAACCCTAAACCTTAAACCCTAAACCCAATGAACCGTCCTTACTTCCCTGAGACCTTACTTCAGGTCATGCCTCTGAACCTCGGCAAGTGCCACAGAAACCTTACTGACAACCGTAAGCCCGAAGCCCTCCGCACGAAACCCTCAACCCCGAACCCCTAAACCCTAAACCCTAAACTTTAAACCCTAAGCCCTTACCCATAAACCCTGAACCCGTCAACCCCTGTTGAAGACCCTATTCAGGTCTCCCCCATTCCTGATGAGCCGGTCCTCCCCGCGGAGGACATGGCTTGCGAGATTTAGGATTCAGGGTTTGGGGTTTAGGGTTCAGAGTTCAAGGTTTGGGGTTGAAGGTTGAGGGTTCAGGACTTGGGGGTTGGGGGGATGCGGACCAAAAAAAATATTTAGGATCAAGAAAAAATTCATTTAGGATCAAAAAATAATATATTTAGGATCAAGAAATAATTCTGTTCTTCCGACGGAGAGAGGGAAGGGGAGGGAGGGAGGGAGAAAAGGAGGGAGGGAGGGAAGGAAGGGCGGAAGGACGGAAGGAAGGCAGGAAGGAAGAAAGGAAGCAAGCAAGGAAGCAAGGAAGCAAGGAAGCAAGGAAGCAAGGAAGCAAGGAAGCAAGGAGGAAGCAAGGAAGCAAGGAAGCAAGGAAGCAAGGAAGCAAGGAAGGTAAGGAAAGGAAATGAAAGGACAGGAAAGGATATGTAGGAAAACATAGCATAACCTCATATGTTAATATATATATATGTGTATATATTAAAACAAAGTATAACAAAATATCTATAGTGGCATAGAGTAGAATAGAACACAATATCGTAGAGTATACCTTTGTATCATAAACAAATAATAAAATCGAAATAGCAAAGCATATATGTATATATTTACTGCTATTTGATATAGAATTGATAATACACAATACATATTTCTTGTTTGTTTGGCGCCGGGCAAGCTTCTTCAACTCGTATGAATCCCTTCCAAACCCATGATGCGAGCATTGTGTTTGCAAATGGGGGGGTCTGCGCCCCCCCTTCAAACCCCCCGCTGTTTCTTAAAGCCGGGCAAGCTTGCTTCAAAGCATATGAGTATCCTTTCCAAACCAAAGATGCGAGCGTTGTGTTGCAAATGGCGGGGCTGCGCGCCCAACCCCCCCCCAACCCCCCCCCAACCCCAACCCCCCCAACCCCCCCCCCCCCCCCCCCCCCCCCCCCCCCCCCCCAACCCACCCCCCCCCCCCCCCCCCCCCCCCCCCCAACCCCCCCCCAAACCCCCCCCCCCCCCCCAACCCCCCCGCTGTTTTCTTAGTCCGGGCAAGCTTGCTTCAAAGCACATGAATCCTTCTGATGCGAGCACTTTTTTGCAAAAAAAAATGAAGACACAGTAAGATACAATGATATATATATATATATATATATATTACAAAACGATGCAATAATATACAATAACACACAAAAAGACAACAATATGCAAGTATGTACAAGAATATGCAGCAATATACACGTAACAAAGAATAACTTACAATTATTTTCAGTAGTTGACAATAATATTCAATAATAAACAACAATATACAATAATGTACAAAAATATACAAAAATATACACCCGTATATACAATATTTTTCAAAAATATACAAAAGATGTACAGCAAGACATACAACAATATAAAATAGTGTACAAAAAACTACAATAATATACAATAGTAGATATACAATAGTAGACAATAATATACAAGAATATACAATAATATACTATAATATAGAGTAATCTGCAATAATATACAAAGAAAATTCAAGAATATACAATAATATACAGTAACCTACAAGAAAAGAGAACAATATACAATAATTTGAAAAACATACAATAACATTCAATAATATGCAATAATATGCAATATCACACAAAACATAAGAAAATACAAGACAATACAATAATACTCAACAATATATACAATATGCAAGAATATACAATGTCATACAATATTATACAAGAATTTCCACAATACTATTCCAGAATATACATGCTTCAGAGTATACGCATTTTTGAAACTTCTAATGCCAAGATGCCAGCATTGATTTGCAGCCTCTGCAAACTCAGAAATGCTGCTATTTACAGTATTTCCAGCCTCTGAAATCGCAGAAATGCTGCTATTTTCCGTATTTGCAGCCTCTGGAAACTCAGAAATGCTGCAGTGCTCTGAAAGCGCAGAAGTGCTGCTACAAACAATATCTGCAGCCTCTCTGGAAACTCTGAAATGTGCAAAAATGCTGTTTTTTTCGGTATTTAGAGCTTGCGAACGGCCAGAACTGCTGCATTTCTGAGCGTTTACAGCCTCCGTTCCGCTTGCAAGAAGCCTTCGAAGCCTTCAGTAAATTAGTTTTTGATCCCAAATAAGTTTTTTGATCCGGCTAGAGATAAATTATTTTTTGATACCAAAAAAATTTTTTGATCCCCTACCCGGGGTTGGGGGGTTTGGGGTTTAGGGTGTAAAGGGTTTAGCGGTTGGGGGTTCAGGAGTTTTGGGGTTCAAGGTCTCGGGTTGAGGGTCAGGATGAGGGGTTTGAGCTGAGTGTTTAGGGTTTAGGGTTCAGGGTATGATGGTCGTATGAGGTTGGATGAGATTTGAGCAAGTTCTGCATGCCGGCCTAGATGGCCCTGAGTTCGACAATGCTACATACTTATAGTCTTCCACGGTGTGGACATGCTGTCCGGAGTGCATCTGGAGCTCCAATGATTGATGCCGTTTGGTTTGTGTGTTCTGGAAAGCCCGAATCCGAATACTTCTCCATTCACATGGTGTGGCATGTTAGTGAGGTCTGGGCAGCGCGAAAGGCTTGTTATTGTCTTAAACCCTCACAGGCAGACTTTGGGTTTCCGTGTAAAGGCAGACGGCCCACGACCCAAGCCTCCAAACCCAAGAAGCCCCTCCGTTTGGGGTCTAGGCTCTGTTTCGGGCTTAATCCGCACCGTCATGCAACGGCCCCTTTCAATCTTTAATCCTTAAGCTAAGTGCAGCGATAACAAAGGAGCAGCACGAACGCCGCACAGTCGACAACAACCTCGAGGCAAGCCCAGATTGAAGGTTCCCTTAAACCCTAAACCCTAAGCCCTAAACCCTAAACCCCTCAACCCCTCAACCCCTAAACCCCTCAACCCCTAAACCCCTCAACCCCTAAACCCCTAAACCCCTACACCCCCAAACCCCCACTCTGCACTCCAAAGTTGGCCCCTGAAGGATGGCAGGAGCTATTGGGTTTACGATGTAGGGTTTACGATTTAGGGTTAAGGTTTTAGGGTTTACCATTTAGGGTTAAGGTTTTAGGGTTAAGGTTTTAGGGTTAAGGTTTTAGGGTTAAGGTTTTAGGGTTAAGGTTTTAGGGTTAAGGTTTTAGGGTTAAGGTTTTAGGGTTGTTTAGGGGTTTAGGGGTTTAGGGGTTTAGGGGTTTAGGGGTTTAGGGGTTTAGGGGTTTAGGGGTTTAGGGGTTTAGGGGTTTAGGGGTTTTTTGGTAATAAGGACCCCAAAATAGGGACCCTAATTCAGAGAACTGCCCAATGGTTGTTTTGTAGGTGGAGGGCCGAAGGGTGAAGACCGGCTGAAGTTTTAGGAAGCCTTTGGGGGTAGTGTGCGACGTCTAGCAAAAGGAGTTCGTCGTGCACATGGTATAGCACTGGTATGTATAGCGCTCCTCCCAGCCATGGGCTACGAGAGGAAGCTGCGAAGGACAACGCTGCGAAGGACAACGTTGCACCACCAAAGCAGAAGACAAAGGCAAACGGGGAGAGAAGAGTTCCAGAGTTCCGGGTTGAAGGTTCACTATACCTTTTGTTGCACGAAGTCTACTGTAAGATTGTGGGCGCGGTGCTGCCGGGTCTCAGCATCAGATGCCTCCTGTATCCACATGTTGCGCAAAAGCCGGTAGTAATCGTGTCATGGTGCATCGCATATGCTATGCTGTACTACACTAGCTTTCCTCCTTCTTGAGTTATCGCGCCAAAAATGGATTAGTTTCGTGTACGTCGTCAAGTAAAGTATCATGCCTTGTGGTTGCGCTATAGCGTGGCAAAGTAGAGTCTAGTACCAGAATGCAGTGTAGCACAGGGCACGGGATTCCCTCCGCTGCAACACTACTCTTAGTGCAGGCGAAGAAGCGCCGTGCCAGGAAGACAGGAGCTGTCTGGGACTAAGCTTTGGTGTTTAAGAACCCTGAGTAAGGACTGTGCTACAGAGGTTTAAGAGTGGCTGAGCTTGACAAGAAGAATTGAATTCTTCATACCCTGAACCCCTCGCCAAAGGGCCTAGACAATGCACCTGAACCCACCCTTGCCCCAGATGAGCTCTTGCGCGCCGGAGGTTGCGGGCGGGCGCCGGACGGAGCCAGCGCCGGCTGTGCTTGGCTCGTCAGACGTGACTCCTCCTGAGGACCTGTCTCCACCCAGGGTCACTCCTGCAAGAAGCTGCGAGGATGTGGGCTTGCGGCTACTGCGCACCTCCATGAGTGCGGCCGCGCTGCTCCCCGAAGCGCAGCTCTGATGTGTTCAGGTGGGAGGTCTCACTGCTTTTGCAACCCTCGCTGCATTCTCTCACGATCAAAAAGTCGACGCCTTAGTGGCTTTGGGGACGTGTGACAAGGGCATTGCAGAGACCGCTCAAGCCTTGCTCAGCTCACCAGGCGACGCTGAGCCCACAACACATCAGCCTCAAACCTGACAGCCAAAACCCAGTGGCACAAGGCCAAAAACTTAAACCGCAAAACAAGGCGCCCGCACCTCAAAGTGTGTTTGGGCTCATGGTGTCGCCTTCAATTCTAACCCTAAGCCCTCAGCCCTAAATCCTGAACCCTAAGCCCTAAGCCCTAAGCACTAAACCCTAAACCCTAAGCCCTAAGCCCTAAAGCCTAAAGCCTAAAGCCTAAAGCCTAAAGCCTAAAGCCTAAACCCTAAACCCTAAACCCTAAACCCTAAACCCTAAACCCTAAACCCTAAACCCTAAACCCTAAACCCTAAACCCTAAACCCTAAACCCTAAACCCTAAACCCTAAACCCTAAACCCAAACCCTAAGCCCTATGAACCCTAAACCCTAAACCCTATGAACCCTAATCCCTATGAACCCTAAACCTGAACCCTGAACCCAAAACCCCGACGCACCTTGGCTTGCTGGTGAGCCAGAAGTTGGTGCATGCAAGTGCAGTGGACGCATAAGACTTCCAAGTGGAATCTACTTGAAGGTTCATGGTACTTATTAACCAATTATGCCTGTACTTACAACCCACTTACAGGCCCCTTAAGTGTTCCAGTATGGTCATAAGTACAGTTGTAAGTACAGCTATAATTGGTTCATAAGTACCATGAACCTCCAAGTAGAAGAGCCGCGCAAAACACCCCGCAAGAGCGTGTCCGTTCTCGCTCGAGGTCAAGATCCAGCGAGCTGCCCCCCTACAAAGTACCAATAGCCCGAAGTGCAAACCCTGAAGCCTAAACCCTGAAGCCCAGGCCGTGACTACCCTAAACCCTAAACCCCAAACCCCAAACCCTAAACCCTAAACCCTAAACGCTAAACCCTAAACCCTAAACCCCAAACGCCCCTCCCCAGGCCCGGCGCCAGCGTGAAGAGCTCTGCGCCCTGAGCCGCGCAAGCGTCGTAGGTTTGGGATTGCAGGGCTCAGACCCTAAGCCCTTGGTGAATCCCATTCCTCCAAGACTTAAACTTCCAGATGTGCGAGTTTAGGGTTTAGGGTTTAGGTTTAGGGTTTAGGGTTTAGGGTTTAGGGTTTAGGGTTTAGGGTTTCGGGTTTAGGGTTTAGGGTTTAGGGTTTAGGGACTCCTAGGCCTCGAAGCCTTCCAGATATTTCTGTATGTATTTCTGTGAGCTTTCCAGGTTTGTTCTTATATTTTCTAGATTTTCTATATATATATATATACACATATGTTTTAGATCTTCCTAGATATTTTCTAAATTTTTCTTGATTTTCTAGATATTACTAGATATTCTTCTAGATATTTCTATGTATTTTCCAGATGTGTCTAGATATATTTTTAGATATTTCGGGATGTTTTTCTAGATATTTCTTGCAAATTTTGTTCTAGATATTTCTTGATATTCTTGTAGATATTTCCAGATATTTCCAGATATTTTCCAATTTTTTGATATTTTCTAGATAGATATTTTCTCGATATTTCTAGAGATTCTTGTAGATATTTCGAGATTTTTATATGCATTTTCTAGATATTTCTAGATATTTCTCGAGATATTTCTAATTCTTCTAGATATCTTTATATAAAATGTTTCTAGATATTTCTTTGTATTTTCTAGATGTCTCTTTTTGTCTTTCTAGATATTTCTAGACATTTTTCTGGATATTTTGTATTTTCTAGATATTTCTAGACACTTCTAGATGATCCTAGATATTTCTAGATTTGTTTATATTTGTCTAGAGGAGGGGACCACGCGGGGCAAGGACCTGGATTGGGCATCTGGGGATCTGAGGGGGATCTGAAGGGTCTGGAGGTGACATGAATTGCAAGACATCCAGCCCCTCAACAGCAACTGACGGCAGTGCCTTTCGGAAATTGATGCGCTGGATTTCATATTGGAAGGGGGGGGTTTCCTTAAGCCGGGGGACTGGATTTTGTGAACTGAGGGCGGGGCTGCCCACGTTGGGGGGCGAGTTTTCTTTCCGGGGGGAGGGGGGGCTTTTGCAAAAATCAGCAAGATTACAACACTCCCTCTAAAGGCTGAGATCTTAAACAGTGCTAGTACCTGTTCCAATTCACCTCCCCACCTTATCTTAGCAGCGCTGTGTGGCTCACAATGTGTTCATTCATGTGCCGTCAGAGTTGAATGCTCTAGGGGCTCAGTGTTTCACTCAGCCGGGCGAGTGCTAAGCGTTCCCGGTCGACAATGCTCGAAAAAGGCAGCTTCCAGTACTTCGAAGCTCACATCCCTAAACCCTAAACCCTAAACCCTAAACCCTAAACCCTAAACCCTAAACCCTAAACCCTAAACCCTAAACCCTAAACCCTAAACCCTAAACCCTAAACCCTAAACCTTAAACCCTATACCATCCGAATCTCCTGTCCCACAAAGCCCACAGGAGCCTCCTGAGACCAGCTTGAGCTCGTCGGAAGTTGCCATACTTCTGTAACAGCTCCTGAACCCTAAGAACCCTAACCCTAAACCCTAAACCCTAAACCCTAAACCCTAAACCCTAAACCCTAAACCCTTAGGCCCAAGAAGCTCATGGGACTTTACCTTGGAACCCTTGGTTTGGGACCCCTTTTGATTGATCCTCTAAGGGAATCTAAGGGCCATATTCGGAGTGTTTTGCGGGAAGCTCCTAGGGGGTACAGTCTGAGGCGGTCCGAGCATGATTCTCTTGAGAAGCCACAACTCTGAACCCCAAAACCCTAAACCCAAAACCCTAAACCCTAAACCCTAAACCCTCAACCCTAAACCCTAAGCTTAATGCCTCAGCCCGCCGTCTTTTGTTAGGGTCTGGGTGGCCTAGGCCGGTCCATTGTGGCATCCAAACGCCTTGACATCCAGCAACTCCCTTTGACCAGGGGGGGGGGGGGATTCCTTTACAAGTCCCTTAAAAGGGGGGGGATGCACCCTAAACCCCCAAACCCCAAACCCCAAACCCCAAACCCTAAACCCTAAACCCTAAAGCCTAAGCCCTAAGCCCTAAGCCCTAAGCCCTAAGCCCTAAGCCCTAAACCCTAAAGCCCAAGCCCTAAGCCCTAAGCCCTAAATCCTAAACCACACCCTATTAGGAATCGTAAGCGCCACGCAGGCACTCTTCAAGTTCAACCGGAAGAATTTCATGTTCGACAAGAAGCTGAAGCAGGCTGTTTTTTTTTTTTTTTTTTAGGGGGGGGGGGGGGAGGGGGTCAGGGGGGGCTCATCATAAAGGGTTTAGGGAAAAGGGTTGAGGGTTAAGGATTTAGGGCTAAGGATGTAGGCCATCACCTCGACTTCTGGTCTTTGGAGACGTAGCTGGGGTGTTCGAGCTTTTCGTTGCAGGCCTGGAGTTGCCAGGGCCGGTTGCAGCTTTAGGGGGGGTTATACGCATAGGGTTAGGGTTCAGGGTTCAGGGTTCAGGGTTCAGGGTTCAGGGTTTAGGGTTTAGGGTTTAGGGTTTAGGGTTTAGGGTTTAGGGTTTAGGGTTTAGGGTTTAGGGTTTAGGGTGGTAGGGTATCTTGAGTGGCAGCATTATAACCTTGTTTGTCGGGAATTCGCCCCGTCCATGTTTGATGATCCTGGCTACTTTAGTCCGTGACCCCAAAAACACAATACAGCAGACCCCCACAGCAGCCCTTGCTTCAGCTTCGCATGCTCACCCCTAAGCCCTAAGCACTAAGCCCTAAGCCCTAAGCCCTAAGCCCTAAGCCCTAAAGCCCTAAAGCCCTAAAGCCCTAAAGCCCAAAAGCCCTAAAGCCCTAAAGCCCTAAAGCCCTAAAGCCCTAAAGCCCTAAAGCCCAAACCCCATGACCAGGAGCGCGAGTTCCAGGAGCAGGACATGCGCGTGGCGCAGTTTCGCCTCTACCGCGAGGCCGCGGCTGTAGGGGGTTGAGGGTGGATCTGGCTTTGGGGTTTAGGGTTTGGGGTTTAGGGTTTAGGGTTTAGGATGTAGGGTTTAAGGTTTCGGGTTTGGGGTTTGGGGTTTGGGGCTTAGTTGGGTTTAGGGGTTGAAAGCGAGTTCCTGGGCCACGTGCCACTTTATTAGTACACCTAGTTTTCGGATTCAGGGTTTCCACCAGCCCTCCCCCTCCCCCCCGCCCATATGTGGAGGTTGAAGGCCTCAGAACCCTAAACCCTATCTCGTCCCCCAAACCCCTGCCCACATCCCCAGAAAGAGGCCCTAAGCCCCAAACCCTAAACCCTAAACCCTAAACCCTGAACCCTAAACCCTAAACCCTAAACCTTAAACCCTAAGCTGCAATCCTAAACGCTCAGCACCCGAAGCCTCGAAATCCTGCATGCAGGATGTACGCGACCTGGTTGAGCTCACAGCCAGTGGCCTCAGGGTTTAGGGTTTAGGGTAGGGGTTTAGGGTTTAGGGTTTAGGGGTTTTGGGGTTTAGGGTTTTGGGTTGAGAGTGCTTGGAGGCTTCTGGATACTTCGAGCTGCAGTTGGTGCTATAGGGCCACAATCCACACCCTAAGCCCTAAACCCAAAACCCAAAACCCTAAGCCCTAAACCCTAAACCCAAAACCCTAAACGCTGCCTTTCGTTTCATAGGGGATTGAGGCGCGCTAGCGGCTGGAGGGTTTGAAGCTTTTTTACGTTTCGAGGTTTGAGGTTTGGGTTTGAGGCTCTTTCAGGGTGATCAGGGTTTTCGGGCTTGTTTTGAGGGATTATAGGGTCCTGAGGTCACAAATTTTGAGGGGTTTTCGTTTTCAGGGTACAGACGATCCGAGGCATTCAGCATTAAAATTAGAATGCAGGAACCCCCCGAAGCCTAGATCCAGTTTGAAGCAGAGACAAAGGTCGGCAAGATGGACTTGTACCTGGTGTCCTCTGCCCTCCTCAT